CGCAGTGTCTGCAGACTTCTCATGGTGGGGAAACTCCACTCTTACGGCTTGGGAGGAGGGATACAGAGCATCTTCTATTCCATGGCTGCAACCTTTTTTCTCAATTTAAAGATCTTCTTCTAGTCTAATGAATTTGTATTCCTCTCGTCCACATAATTTTGATCCAATTTCTCACTAATGCTAAAGTTTTATTTAGTGAAAGAGCATCACCCCCAGAATCCCTGCATTGACTTGACATGGCCTGAGGGGATTCCCCCCAATTTGGGCAAGGGGCTGAGGGGATGGAGGTTGGAGTCTCAGTTGCCGTCAGACCTAAATGGACCTGGCAATCACTGAGGGTAGGTGGGGGGAGAGTTGTTCTGACTTGAAGTGATCTTGGTGAAGTAAAGACTGATTCTTATCTTTGACTGTGAATGAACTCAAAGACAAAGACCCTTCAAAGTTGCTCAGGCATTTTGGGTGTGGAATGAGGTTAACCTTCAAAGGGGAAGCCACGACATGATCAGAAATCTGTGTTTTTGAGCCAAACTATGTCTATATCAGTGTCTAGACTTGGCTTTGTGTTTTCATTATGAGAATTGCATTAAACTCATAATGAGTCCTTCATTTGTGAGTGACTTCTGTGGCCAGGCACTGTTTCAGACCTTGGGAATACAGTGAGCAAAACAGGTAGGATTCCTGCCCTCATGGAGCTCACATTGTAGTTAAGGGATACAGATAATAAATACAAGTAAACAATTAGATAATCAAGATAATTTCAGATAGTAATAAGTGCTATTAAAAAACTAAATAATAACTTTTTTAAAAAACCAACTTAAAAGAAAAGGTGAGACAAAGTGATAAGGGGAAAGGGCAGGGGTCTAATTTAGATGGATAAGAAGGAAGTTTCCTCTTGAGGAAGTGATACTTACCCTAAATGACCAGAAGAAGATCTGAAAAAAGAGTGTTCTAAGAAGAGAAACAGCAAGTACAAAGGTCTTGAGGTGGGAGCAAACTTGGTTGGGTATGACACATGAGGTAGAGAAAGCCAAGCAGTAAAGTCACACAGAAGACAGGGGTTTGATCACACAGAACTTTAACTCAGATGTGGACTTTATTCTAAGGGCATTTAGAAGTGATTGGATAATGTTAAGCAGGGGAATGAATGATTTATATTAATTTTGAAAGCTCTCCCTGGATGCTGGTTAGATTATAACTTGGCAAGAGTGCAAGCAGGGAGGCCAATCAGGAGTCTATTTTAACAGTCCAGGTAAGAACTGACACCTAGTTTGGACAAGGTAGTAACAGTGGAGATAGCAGTGAATAGATTCAGGATCTATTTTAGAGGTGGAGACAACAGAACCTGGCAGGTGGATTGGATCTGGAGTAGGAGAAAATGAGAGGAATCTAATAGGGGTCCCCTGGTCCCATCCACTGAGATGGAAGCCTGAAGAAGGAACAGGTTCTGGGAAGAAAATCCAGAGAAGTGTTTGTCCCATGCTTTATTTGAAATGCCTGTGAAACATCTAGATGGAGGTGGCAAGCATATAGCTGGATAAATAAGAACACACGGAGCACATGTTCTTTTTGGAACTTTCAGCCCACTTGTGGAAACCTGGGAAAGTCCAAGAATGGGCCTGAAAGGGCATTCTGGACCAGCAGAGGTCCCCACGAGGTCCAGATCCCCATCATCTAAAGGGTTTTAGCACACCTGTGGGTAGCGGTATGCTTCATTTCACATAGTGCAAGTGCTTTAAAGAGTTCTACAGGTCAAGCAAGTTGTGAATTACTGTTTGTCATTAACTTACCTTTCAATTTGCCAAACACTTTCTCCTTAATGTTGAATTGTCTTTCATTGACTCTCAGTGGGAAGTTTTTGGTTTCTGCTTCCCCCTCTCCTTTCTTATCACTCCCTGCCTTCGCTTTTCTAACCAGCCTTTCCTCTGTGGACTGTTTCAAGTTAAAAAGTTTAAATCCATCCTTTCATGTTTCTGGGGTGCAGGGAGAGGTCTCTAATAGAGCTTAAGAAATAGCTTACCTCTTCCTTACTTCTGAAAAGTTGAGGAAGAAAACAAAGAGTGAGACAGACAGGCTGCCACAAGTGACTTTAGGTCTAGTAGCCAAGTGTGCTGAGCTAATAGTGAATTCCAGAATTACGAGCTGTCCCCACCCAGTTCCCAGCAGCATGGGTTGGGAGCAGGCAGGCCCCTGGGAGAGCGGCAGAAACTTGTTCTTCCCTGTGGGCTGCACCTCCCTAGAGGAAACAGGTGGCAGAACTGAGCCCAGTTTGCTGTTACTCTGCCCAGATTTATTTTACATCATCAGAGGTGAAACAGTTAAGGCTCTGAGAGAAGCGAGGAAACAGTCCTCATGGAAACTTGGGGTGAAGAGAGGACATTCTCCTCTGATAATGGAAACGTTCACCATTAATTGGCTGGTTTTATATGTTTGGCTTTTCAGTAAGTAGGACACCATTAACTTCAACAGGCAGATATCAAGCACAATTCTGCGACTTACTAACTATAGTTTTGGGAAGGTTACTTGAGCTGTCTCAAATTTCTCATTTGTAAAAATGAGGATGAGAGTACCTGCTTTGTGAAATCATTCATGTAACACATTCAGTGCACTCCCTGGATCAGAATAAACACTTAGTAAAGATTTGCTGCTACTATTACTACTGTAGTGGTGGCTATCACTGTTACCATGTTAGGAGATCTGTTAGGTGCCAAAGATATAAAAGATAAAAGACATAATCTTACCATCTAGAGCTCAGTAGGGAGATAGGAATAAAAATATAATACAGTGTAATGCACATTAGTAAAGTTTTTTTACCAGAAGGGTGCCTACCAACGATTACATTTTAGTGAGATTGTACCTATGCAGGCCAGGACAAAAAAAAAGCTGACTTGGAATTGTTGAGCTTCCCACATTCTTATTGGGTAGGAGTCAAGTAAGTGGCTCTGTTTGCAAGAAAGGTATCAGGAAACTGCCTGTGTTTTTAGGGTAGGTTTTTTTTTTAATCCCCAAAGGAGTTAGTCACCAGTGAGGACTAGAACAATGATGGCTCTAAATCCTCAAGGTGGTGAAAGCCAGAACCAGCCCTGATTTAGCACTCCTGGGCATGGAAAGAGCTGATTCTTTGGAATCTGACACCTGGAGCCTAAACTGGCAGAGCCTGAGGGCCCTTGGATCAGGGTGACACTGGAATAGGCCAGAAGGGCCCCACTCTGGCTGAGATTCTGACGTGGCACTGACCCCACTGTACAGGACCCCCATGAGGGCAAGGCTTTATCTCTATGTACTTTACATCTGCTAAAAAGCTTTGCTGCCTTGCCCCTGAGTCACCCCTTCAGTGGCTGGTGCATAGGCATCCTGCAGCTGTAAGCCGTAAGTCTTCATGGCCTCATCTGCCGAGGTGACTGGGAATTCAGCCAGGAGTACTTCCTGTTAGAGAGCTCTGGAGTGTGGAGGCAGGCCCCAGAAAATAAGCCAAGCACCTTCCAGGATCACGGATACGTGGCCAGTTTTGCCGCATTCACCCTCTGCTTCAGCCATTAGATCAAGCCATTAGATTCACTTTCAGGTACCTCTAAAGTATGGCAAATTCTGTAGGCGTAAAAGAGAGGGAGTTGGAGGGAGGACAGTTCTCTATCACTGGTTTGTGAGAGCTCAAATATTTGCACCCTAGGGATGAAATGGGAGGCATAATAGTTGTATACCAACTGTGTAGGGCATCCTGGTCACTAACATAGTAATAGAAGCATGAATATGCTACAGCAGCATGAAGCAAGAAGTGATAAGTTCTGTAAGAGGAGGTGTTGGGGGAAGACTTCTGAGAGGTCAGGCCTGAACAGGATTTGTAAGAATGAGTAGGCGTTTACAGTGACAGAATAGAGGAAGTGAATTACAGACAGGAAGAACAGCTTGGACAAAAGCTTTACTAACCCATGACAGCACGGTATTTTCAGTGAATTTAAAGCAGATTTATCCACTCTGCGACAGAGTGTTTTGGTGGATTCATTTCTTGTTCCAGTGTTTACTGATAACCTCCTTTAGTTTTTAACAAAGTAAAGGTTTATTATATGTAAATACATATACAATATTTATAATAGTGCCTGGCACATGGTTAGCACAATCTTAGTCAAACTTCTGATGACTAAATAGCTCAGTTTTTTTTAATAAGATGTAAAAATTTTCTCAACCGTTTTCTATTCCTGCTCACTCCAATCCCCATACTTCAAAAATTCTAGATTCAATTTCAAAAGCCAAATATTTTAAGAGGCCAGTTTAAGATAGGTGCGGCACAGACGCCTAAAACGGAAAGGCGCTGCAGGAAAAGGGTAATGTTAGTTGTTTTTGGTCTGGGGTGATTATAGGCAAACTATCTAAAACAAGTCTTTAAAATTTTCGTCTGTTATTTTCTAAGTCCTGTTTCAGAGCTTTGTTTCAAATAATCGCACCTGGAGCCTCTAAGACCGTTGCACTCGGTAGATGGCAGCGCCGGCGGCGGCAAGGAGAATCGGTGAAGCAGTAAGGAACCGGCTAAGGTGTGGCCGTTCCCGCAGCAAGTGCCACGTAACCAGGGCACTGGAACTAATTTGACATCTAGGAAAGGCTACGAGAAGCGACAGGCTGGCCTGGATATTAGGGCCGAAGACTCAGGAGGAAACAAGGAGTAAAGAGCCGTGCAGTTCTGGGACGGTGGGCAGAGGGAGAGGAAGAGGGTCCCGTGTCGGGCGCGAGAAGGATGCGAGACAACGAAGGTCACGCGGCACCCGGTACCCGGGAGCGCCGGGCCCAATGGGAGGAGGGCGCGAGCCGCACCTCAACCTGCCGCAGGACGTCACGACGCCGAGGCGGACGCCGGGCCAATGGGAGGCCGCCGCGGGCAGGGGCGGGGCCCGGAGGAGTTGGGCTGGGCCGCACTGAGACAGTTGGAGAAATCGTGTGGCCACCGCGGGCGGGGGGAGGACGAGCCGCCGGCTGCGGACGCCGGCCTGCCCTGAGCCTCTGCCGGCCCCGGCCACTTCCCGCATGCTGCCGGCTCCTCCCTGAGCGGCGGCGGCGGCGGCGAGGCGTCAGGGACGCTCCTGGGGGCGGCTCGGGGTCGAGGCTTCCTGTCGCCCGCACTTCCTCCTGCGGCGCCGGTGCACGGCCGTCTCGGCCGGCGGGATGGCGGCGGCCAGGGGGAGCGGCCGTGCATCTAAACCCCGGCTGCTTCTGCTCCTGCTGGTTCCGCTGCTGTGGGCCCCGGCCGGGGTCCGGGCCGTTCCCGACGAAGACAGCCACCGGAACAAGGAACCGCCGGCGCCTGCCCAGCAGCTGCAGCCGCAGCCCGCGGGCGTGCAGGGCCCCGAGCCGGCCCGGGCCGAGGTGAGCGGGACGGGCCCGGGCAGGCGAGGCTGCGGAGCCGGCGGAGCCGGGTACCAGGCTCGTCGTCGCCAGAGCGCCGCCCTCGGCCCAGGCAGCCGGCGGGGGGAGGGGAGCCCGGTTGCGGCTCTCTGGGCTGGAAGACGGCTGAGTGCGCTTTCCCTGGGTCAGGCCTGGCCTTGCCTGTCTCCTTATGGGGGAGGGGAGGAGGGAAGCCGAACTAGGAGTCCGCTGTAAACCTTTAGTTCCGGAGGATAAAGATGCTGCCAAGGAATGGGCTTCTTGTTGATCAGATGTATCCTAGAGAGCTGGGAATGTTCATCATCCCAAGTAGAAAGTTTTTAACAGAGGGCAGCTGGGAGGCTTTTGGTATTCTCTGAGAATAATAACATCGGCTATTTCATTGTTGAAGCAGTTTATCCCATACTGTTTACCACATTCAGCTTTGCACAACTCTCACTTTTTTTTTTTTTAACAAGCTCTCGTTTGCAGGAAGTAGCCTTTAGGAAAGCACAGGAATCATCAGTCTTTGACAGTACAGAGTGCTGCAGCGGTGTGGGACGCCAAAACTAAATTTATAAGTATACTAGAATCCTACATTTTGGTCTTCACTAAAAGATATTAATTAACATCTTAATTTATGTTAGTAGAATCCCTTAGTCACTTGTGTTCAAGATCTCGGCAGCGTTTTTTAAACGCTCTGTACGCCCTGGGCTTTCTCCTCATTTCCAATTTGGACTCCTGAATTCAGGCCTTCTGTAGTCTCTTCTAATAGGAGCTCAAACCTCCCATTTCCACCCCAGGCTACATTCAGCCTGTCCCCATCTAACGAATCCTCCTGAACATTGAATTCCGTTTTCTCTCTCAGAAACCTCCAGCGAGTTGCCCCGCACGCTGATTTCAGCCCAGCCTCTTCAGCAGGATGTGCACGTTTGTTGGTGATCTGGCTCCAGTCAACACCTCCAGGCTGTTAGCCACCACTCCCTTGCTCACTCATATGCTGTACTCAGACTTGCCATGTGCTCTCTCTCTCCAACAAAAGCCCTTTCTAAATAAAAGAGTTTTAGTGAGCTTGAAGCCTACTGGTCAGAACTTTTCCCACCTTTCAAGAACCATCCGATATCGCCTCTCTGTGAAGGCTTCCTAAAATTTCCTGGCTGAAAGTGATTTCTCTCTCCTGCCTGTCACTCCTGGGCTCCGCGGACCCGGCTCGCCATTTCCACTTCTGAAATTGAACTGACATGCTGATTCATGAAACTCATTCTTAGTGTTCGTCGTTTAGCCTGCTGTCATTTAACTCATTATCAGAAATTTATTTAAAGCTATAACTATTTGGGGTTATGTAACTTTCCAGGCTTTGCATTAAAGTTTTAGTCAGATAGTGATTTTTGAGATAAAAATAGTGGTAGGTATGGCTATTAATACCCTTTTACACTGCTAGGAAAAATACAGCCATGTAAAATAAAGGCAGCAGTGTCCAGGGACCGTATGTAAGTGTCTTAAGGATCCTTGTCTTTAAAATTGGGGATGTGAAGGGAAAGGGAAGGCACAGTGTAATACGATTTTTGTCTTTACTGTCTTGGTATTTCACATAACTTTTGTTACGGATCAAGTGGTTTTTTTTCCCCTTTGCCTACTGTACTGCAGTATATTGGAAGAGATTTTTTTTTACGTTTTCTAAACTGTAATATAAATATCATTTGCTTTTTTTGTCCACTTAATGAAAGTTAAGATGTGGTCAGAGTTCCTAATTTAATAGTCATTCACGAAAGCAAGGGTTCAGCATAGCCGAATATCTGAAAGTTTCAACTCTTTAACTCTTTAGCTTTGCAACTACAGGCAGCAGATCTTTTAAAGGGGTAGGATATTTAACCTTACCCTTTCATGCCAGTGAGTGTGGACTTCTGAAAATGGAGAGGGGAAAATCTCTCTGTTACTGGTAGGCATTTAAATGTAAGATGTATTATAAAAATGTAGCTGCATCTTATAGGGTGCGTTGAGGCAAGATTACTGAACTTCTAATAAGGTTTTCTACATTGATTTTTTTTTCCTCTATAATCAGATAAAAAAAAGTTTGGGGAGTTTACTCTGAAGTTATAGTTAAAATTAAAACCATGAAAAAAGCACTGTGGATCACTGGGACCCTTTCATTTATGCAGTTTATGCTTCTAGTGACGTACTCAGTTATTTTCTTCCTTCCCTGGGCAGAATATGTAATACAAGAAGCATTCAGTCCCTTTAGTTGGGGGAAGTCAGATGGATTTAATAAAGGTAATTTATAATTTGCTGCGTATTCTGGGAGGTCAGATGGATTTAATAAAAGTAATTTATAATTTGCCGCGTGTTCTGGAAGGCCAAAGGACCGCAGTTGTGTAACACTGTTGATAAAGCCACAGCAGCCTACCACCTGACCCAGTACCGATTCTCCTTACTGTATTTCTCCTTTACTGTTTCTTGGCATTTCTTTATGTATTATCTTTTAACACAGAAGCTTTCCACACCATATTTTAATCATTTTCCCATTTTTATTAAGTTGCAGTCCTGCTCCATCCAATCCAAACTCCTAGTTCAAGGCTCTTTATGGCTGAGACTGAGGCCGTCAGGTGTGAAGATTCGTCTTACTGAGGGTTGCTGTGTCAGAATGAAATGATCATGATGTTACTGCATTTATTTGTTGGTGTCCTACCAGCAAAGCGATTCATCACAAATAAAAATCAGTGAAACTAAATACACAATACATTTCAGATGTCAAAATGTATGAATACATTACAAAACAGTAACATTCTCAGAAACAAAGCTGTTAAACATTCATTAAAATAAAAATGTTATATATATTTGAATATAAATTAACAAATAACATTCATAAAAATAAAATATTATTTTAAAAGCAACAAACTAAACCATCTACAAATAAAAGATATGAGTGAAAATTTATAATGAAGTACAATTTTAGTGTTTTATTTTAATGCAGTCTCTTAAAACGAAGTTTATCCATAGTGTCATTGTTTAAGTTACACATGTATTCTTGGGCACATTTTTCCAACTTCTGAGAAAGGTTTTTCTGACTTCGTACAGTAAAGTAATGGCAAGGAGACAGTTCTAAGCCAATTCTAAGCGTTTTCCTGTGACTCCTTTATCTTCAAATAATCTCACCTCTTGTATCGTAACTTTTGTTAAGGGACTTCGCTTTTTTTTTTGCAGGGACTTTAGTCTTTTTTTTTTTTTGGTAGCAGGCTGTAGATTTTGTTTCAAAGAACGCATCTTCATCTTCTCTGGTTTCCTCATGTGTAGATGGAAGTTCTGATGCAGGTATGTGTGTCAATTTCAATACAGTCGCATATGTGTTCATTTAAACTCTACAACTAGAATAGGAATGATTTTTTTCATTGTTAATTGTCATTTTCTTTCTTCTCCTGAAGATCATGGAAGAATAAAGGGCTACTCTCTAAATGAGGGAGTTTTTTCAACATTTTTCAATTTGGAGCTAATTTTAACTTTAAAGAAGAGTTTTATTCAGGAAGGTTTTTTTTTTTTTAATTATAAGTTGTTGACCCTACTCTCAAGATGTAAATACTTTGGGTTTCAGACCCAAAATAAAGTGCTGAAAGAGTGGCCTTCGTACTAAGGAAAACACTGTATTTCCTCACTTTCTGTAACACTGTGTAATTGAACAGTGGAATGCCAAAACTGGAATTACAGTCACTGCATCTGACCCTCCTGTACTAATCTAAGTGTTTGCTTCTCTGCCAGTACTTTCTGCCTTCATGTATCGGACAAAACTGTCATCGTTTCCATCCCTCTCTGTGTCCATGTGCCTGTTCTCCTCTGACCTCCAGTACTTTCCTTCCTCAGTAGCTTTATTCTCTCCTTTTCTTTGGTGCCTGTGCCCTCAGGTTTCTCCAGTTTGGAGGGGGAAAAGGCCATTGACTTAGCTCTCCTTGACTGCATTCTATTTTTCAGTTTTATAAACCACATCTCTAACTAGGCAATTAGCTGCTTTTTCACTTTGCTTTAGTCTTATGTTATCTGGCATGAGCCCCTGTCTTTATTGAAAGGTCATTTTTGAAGGATACCTGTAACCTACCTAATGGCTAAATCCAGGGGTCTTTTCCAGTTCTTGTTTGACACTGTTAACTCTCCACTTTTTAAGAGTCCTACACCATCTCATTTTGTATGAACTTGAGGAAACTATTTAACCCTATTGGTCCTCAGAGTCTCCTCTTGTGTGCAGTTGGGATAACAGTTCTTAAGGTTTTTGAGTATCAAATAAAGCAATGTATATGGAAACACCTGGCATTTAGTAGCTCAGTGAAATGGTGATTGCCCCTAACTTGACCATCTGTGATGTTCTCCTGCCTGGCTCTCTAAATATCTAAGACAATTTTCTTTTCTCCTTTTCCCCACCCAACCCCTTCCCTAAATACAGACATTCTCTGAATTTCATGTTTTTCAGTGTAATCTCTGTCTTTTCCCTTGGAAAACTAATCTTGCAGAGCTCCAGCTGATAAAGTCAGGCTACCAGTAACCAAATACATATCTGAGGCTGGGTTGGCCTAACCTCAGGTGTCTCATTTCTGATGTCCTCTTGGAAACCTTTATTTGAAATGCTTTTTATCCTCAAATTGAATGTGTCTAAAGCCACACTCCTATTTTTATTCCTCTTTATATGCCTTGGAATATGAATATCATCTTTGATTCTTCCCCTTTGAAAAGTTCTGTTAATTTTTCTTTTCCATTGTGTGCAGAATGTTTTCCTTTATTTTATCCTCAACATTGGTCTTGTGTGGCAGGCCTCCTAATTCATCAGTCCGGTGGCTGGTGTTCTCTACTTGCCGTCCTGATCTATTAGTCAGAGTGCCTCCTTAATCATGTCTGTGTCTTCTACTCAAAAACTTTAAAGGGCTTCTTGCTTACCCCTAAGCTAGTTCATAAACATACTGGATTTTCAGTCTGGGCCCAATTTATCTTTCTTTATCTCACCCCAACTATTCTGATAATTTACTCCCTGATCTTAGACTATGCCTGTTTTCTTTCAAATTGTCAGTCCAGGGAAGAGGATAAGTGCATGTACCCAGTGCATTTTCAAGTTAGCCACTCCATGAGTGATGAGGACGAATCCTGCTGAGTCTTTCGAAGAGCCTTCTGAAATGAACCTCAGAACTGACTGCCCCACAGTGAAAGGTTGCCCCACAGGGCTTAACTCCTCCATACTGCTGGGTAGTGAATCAGTACCTTCAGAGCACTTCCCTTCTGGTTGGACCTGCCTGAAGTCAGTTACAACCTATAAGCAACTGGTCCTCTGTATCTAGAGTAAGAGATTGGGTCAAGAAGTTTTTGAAGTGGGGCATAACAGGTATCTCTAATCATGTGCCCGGTAAAAAAATCCAAAAGGTGAAGAAGAGTGCAGAATGAAAAGTGCTTGTATTCTAGCTCAGCGGTCAGCAAATGATAGTTTACCACTGACTGCCTGTCTTTGTAAACAGCGTTTTGTTGTAACAGAGCCATGCCTGTTCATTTAAGTATTATTACCTATGGCTGCTCTCAGGCTGTAGCATCAGAGTTGGGTAATGAACAAAGAGACTTTATGGCCCTTTTTCTTAAAAGTTTGCTGACCCCTGTTGTAGTCATCTTGGCTCCTTCCCTGGAAACAGACACCGTTTCCTGAGGTTTCCAGTACATTAACAACTGCGTATGGACTTTATATGCTTACCCAAATCTCTACTCCTCCACACACCTACCATGACTGTATACATAAGACATACCTTTTTCAACTTAAAAAATCTTAGTGTTTTTTTTCTAATTAGTATATATAAAACAATCTTAATTTTAGCCCCATGATATTCTAATATATGGAGCTGCCATTTATGTAACCAGTTCCCTGTTGATGGACACTCAGTCACTTTTGTCTCTTTTTATTGTTGCAAATGTTAACATTACATTTATACGTGTTTCTAGTACAGTTAACTCCCTGAGTGTTCCTGGCTCAGGTTTTATTTCAGTCATGTGCCTACCAGGTACCTGCCACGGTCTGCGTTCAGTTTGAGGGGAGTGGGCTCATTAAGGGGCTGGAGCTGTTGGGAGAGGGCTTGCCCAAGAGGTTCTACGTAAGTTGAATCTTGAGAAATCTGGATGAATAGGATACTGAAAAGAAAGTAGGAAGGGAAGGCGACTGCATGACTGAAGGCTTGTGGTTACCGAGAGCTTGACATGCTCTTGGGCTGCCCTGCCCTGGACCACAGCCCCGAGCCGTGTGGCGGTTCTCGGGCGCTGGAGCATGTGGGGCCAGTCCACGCTGAGGTTGCGTGAGGTGTGTGCAGGGAGTAGGGATACACTGGAGTCTGAAGACTTGGTAGGAAAAAAAAGTGTTAAGTATCTCACTGCTCACTTACAAAATATTCCTAGGGTGGTATTTTGGATATGTTGGGTTAAATAAAATAATATTAAAAATAATTTTATGTGTTTTTAATATGTGGCTACCAGCAATTTCAAAATTACCTTATGTGGCTTGCATTATTTTCTGTTGGACAGTGCTGCTCTGGCTCATCCTTCGTTATGGAGTGTAAGGTGCATTTGGGTAATTGGTATGTGATTAGATAGCAGATGTTGGTAGTTAACCAGTATTTGCATTTTATATCCTAGGCATAAGAAGGTCATTACAGTTTCTTACACAGTGAAGTAATGTGATGAAATTAATTTTTGGAAGACTAGCCTGGTCATGTTGTGGTGTGCTGTTTTAAGGGCTTATGTGTAGTAACTCATTTAATTCTCAAAACAAGCCCCCAGGGTATAGCTATCCCTCATCTTACGGATGAAACTTGAGGCACAGAGAGGGAAACTTACTGGCCCAAGGTCATACAGGAACTAGTAATGCCTTAGCCATGAACCCTGGCAGTTTGATTCCAGAGCCCACCTATTAAACCGCTCCACTCTGTCACTCTAAAGGTGAATTAGAAAAAGGAGATGGTCCTTGCATATAGTAAGCACTTGGGCAGTTGACAACAAATGATTGAATGGTAATTGATTATTTTCTGCCCCCATTTAATAATATTTTAAGTTTTAAAAATCTGTCTCCATAATACCCTGGTACTTTTTAGTTCTTACCATACCATGGCTGGTGGCTCTTTACCACTGCTCTCCAAAATCAAAATGGTGTCTATTGAGGGCCAGATTAATATGTAACAAAAGCTGTAAGTTGATTTTTTTTGAAAGTTTTTAAGAATCCACATTTTTTGTTTTGCTTTGTGTCTAAGAGGCAAGTTTTATTTTATCCTCCTCATTTCACAGAGGAACAGGGAGGCTAAGTAATGTGGCCAAGGTTTTATGGCTGGGAATTGTAAAACCACGGGAATTTGTGGTTTTGATCGCTATTGTGTTTGTTTTTTAAAATAAACATTTTTTTGAGCTTGCAGCTAATTGGTTGTAAATGGTGAGTATTTATTCCTAAAATTTTTCTTGGATTTCAGGTCCGAAATATTTTGCAATGAAATTTCTTCATACAAAAGGTATATCCAAGATGAAAATGTTGTAGTGGTGAAAACTGAATTAAAACGCTTATTTATTTTTTTTAACCATACTTAAAGCTCATAGGGTATTGGAAGAGGAAGGAAGCTCATTTTTAAAGGAAGACCAGCATAGTTGGGATTAAAATGCTAATGATGAGAAAGCTAGAATCCCTTAAAATGGTACTTGCTTCATCAAGAGCTGGCTTCCAAGGCTGCCCATTTGATTTAGCCCTATCCCCAAATGTTTTCTAAAATGGTTAATTTCTAAATTTCCCCAATTTTTAGCACAGGAGTCTCGTCTGAGTAATGCTTAAAGGTTTCTGATCTTCACTGTGTAATTTGGGAGTCCAGTTTATGTCACGTGTTAAGGAATGGCACGCATACTAAAACTTTAGGATTTTAATCTTATTTCTGACTGGGGCCTTTGTAAGTGAAAGAAGTTCTGTTTATACTCTGTCAGCTCACATGCGGTCTTGGTTTTTTTTGTTGTTGATTTTTCTTTTTTATCTCTTAGGCTTCTAGAGATTCATAGGCTTTAAAAAATAATTAAGGATAGGCAGCTGGGATTGGAAGAGACCTTTAGAAGTGATTTCTTTAGTGCAGCGCCTCTGCCCCTGGGCACTACTGATATTTCAAATTAGATCATTCTTTCTTGTGTGGGAATTGTTCTGTGAATCATGTCCTGTCTGTAGCAGCATCTCTGGCCACTACTTTCTTGACGCCATTAGTTCCCCTTCAGCTGTGACAACCAGAATGTCTCTGGACATTGCCAGAAGTCTGCTGGGAGACATAGCCGCCCTGGTTTGGGACCACTGATGAGCACATTTCCTGTAGGTAGTGGTTCTTTTCTCTGGGTCTCTGCCCAGGGAGTTTACCACTTTCTCTAGCAGTCCACCTCAGCTTCCAAGACTCATCTGGTAGAAATCTTTTCTTTGTGTTAAGCTACAATCTAGAGCTTTTTACGTCTCCCTCTTGGGACCATACAGACTCATACAGACTTTCACAGTTACTGGAACAGAGGCATCCGGTCCTTCCCGGTGCCTTCTGTGATTGTTTTAGAGCATGAGTTTGGCAAGTTTCTTTTTGTAATGGGCCAGATAATAAATATTTTAGGTTTGGCCACATATTTGCAGGCTGCTTAAGGTTTTTGTTGCATAATTTTCCTTCCCTTCCCTCCCTCCCTCTTTCTCTTGTTCTTTTTTTGCAACCCCTTAAAAATGTACAAGTCATTCTCAGCTGGACTTAGCCTCAGCAGAAGCCTGCCAATCCTGGTTGTAAAGTCTCTTCCATCTGGGATGATCTTCAGAGGGCAGTGCCTTCTTGATAGGTGGTGCCTCAGAACCAGTACAGAACTTTGAGTAAGAGCTGAGCAGCATAGAAGATGGGCTTGTCACTAACTCTTTGAAGGGCTTAAAGTGCCTGCTCCCTGTTTGGAGCTTTGTCATGTTTTCAACTCAGAATGACCTTAACACCAGCCAAGACTCTGGCCTGTACTTTTATTAGGCCATTTTACACCCTTGGTTAGTTTTAGACTTTAGGACCATCCACATATCCTGCTATATTAGACATCATCTTAGCTAGAGCCAACTCTTGCTCTAGCCTGTTGAGAGCTTTCTGGATCCTCTGTTCTCTAAAATGTTAATGAAATTTCTCTCAGTTTCCTGCTATTTGGATGTTTGATAAGCATGCCTTGGTCTTATGTCCAAGTTATGAATAAAAACTTGAATGAGACATAGTTAAGAACTAAATCTCAACCTACAAATACTTAGAAACCAAGGTAATTTTAATGTGTGGATATAAGTGGTCTCTATTTTTTTTTTAAGTTCCATAGAATTGTACTTAGAATTTTAGCTCTGTAGAATCCCTGCCGTAGCAGCCATCAATCGGAGGTTGCTGTCGTTACCAATGGCTTTCAAAGATATTAGACAATAAATAAGCCTAATGATGATGACAGGAAAACAATCTTAATTCGCATACAAAATAAATTAATTTAAAATAATGACTTTTAAAAAAAATAGCTGATATTTTTTTTTTTTTCTTCCAGAAAGGATTTACACCAGCTGCTCCGGTTCTCACCAATAAAGAAGATCCAGCTACCCAAACGAATTTGGGATTTATCCATGCATTTGTGGCTGCCATATCAGTTATCATTGTGTCTGAACTGGGCGATAAGACATTTTTTATAGCAGCCATCATGGCGATGCGCTATAACCGGTTGACGGTGTTGGCCGGTGCCATGCTTGCCTTGGGCCTGATGACATGCTTATCAGGTGAGTGTGCTTTTTCCTCCTAATGAGTTTACTGAATTAGAGAAAGTATGGTGTGTGGCATTGAAGTGACTGAATCATTCAACTGGTTATGGTGGAATTTAGTTTGTGTTCCAGAATTTAGTCCACAGAAAATATTTTTAGTACATAAATTCTTAAATATCATATTGCACTTGTAAAATTAAATTTTCAGCTATTCAGTCAAGATACATACACCTCATTTATTCACTATTTTTTTTATCCTTTTGCTGTGGATATCCTTGCTTTTTTTTTTCTTTTTAAGTCCAGATAGGTTTATTTACATCTGATAGCTTAGAAATAGGACTCAAGCAGCCACAGAGAGTTGCATATTTCCTGTTGAAGGACTTTTTTAATAATGAAGAGTCGCGTTCAGTGTATTGTGCTCTATTAAGCTATTCTTGCTCATTACAGTAAAAGAATGAAACATTCTTAGATTCCCAGTCTGTTACTATTTGAGTTCCTATTATTGTAGGCTTCAATTTTTCAAAGAATTAAGACCATGAGAAAGTAAACTTATTGCTGAATAATTAAACATAGTTTATTTAGTCTCTGATTCAAAAGCTGCTGTTAACCACATGGTTGGGTGGAAAATAGTGAGTTTTCCTGAGTCAGACTTGGATTGGAGTCTGATTATGCCATGTATTAACCTCATAATAAGTTACTTAACCTCTTTGAGCTTCAGTTTCCGTCTGTAAACTGGAGATAATATCTAGCTGCCTCATGGGGTTGTGGTTTGTATTAAAATGATTTCTTTATATTTCACGTGCTCAGCCATTCCCCCCCCCCCCAGCCTGCCTTAGGTTTCTGGTGAAACACAGTTTTAAAGTACAGAACAAGTTCTATTTCTGGCTGCTTGAATGCTTGTAAAAGTTCGTCTTTTTAAACATATTATAATGAGTATTTTACTGAATAAAATAATTTGACTACTTTTTACATTTTGGTTATTAGTATTAGCATTACTCATATCTCATAACAAAAGCAATTTTCTCTTCAAAAGCAAATTTTGATTCTAGGAAATAGGAAAAGTGGGGAAGGTTGGAAAAGTAGGGCAAAGTCACTTGTTGGGAATGAGTTTGAATAATATCAGAGAATTTATTTTTGAAACTTGGAGCCTTGAGGATAACTCGAAGGCTGCCCCCTCTCTGCCTGTCCCTCCTGGGAAGCTGGCTCCTCCAGTCCCCCTGCCCCTTCTCTGCAGTCAGCTCCTTTCCCTCAGCTGTGAGTGGCATCAGGCTGTCCTGTCCTGACGCCAGGCCACCTCCCTCTGGCTGCTGGTAGGGACAGCTCCTCTCACCCGAACTGTTTGAAAGAATGGGTTGTATCAGTGGTCTTCAAACCTCTTCTTTGTGTCTCTAAAATGAGCTTGAAAAACTGTGTACCTCCACTCACTTTTCATCTTAAGTTTAAGGAGTTGCAGAGACCTAATATTTGGTATATTGTGTAAAATTATTATGGTTGGTATTCTTTTCTTTTGAAATGTTTGTCTTGTGTTTTAACATTTATTACAAAATATTTCAATTCATATCATATTTGCAAACCGAAAAGAAATTCCAAAATCAGAGAAATTTCAGACATCATACATTTTTAACAGTCTTTCAAGATAGACTAAACACTACCTCACCCGTCATTCGTGTTTGACACATTTGTCTTCCCACCAGCCTCGCCCGCACGAACCGATTCCCCCACTAGATGGTTGAGTTCATTGTGGGCAATTTCAAGTCTGTAAGTGTGGGGGCCACTGCTTTCCTTTGCAGAATTTCCACTTTACCAGTGTTACTTCTTTCTTGTTAGCATTCCGGAATCGTTCCTGAACTGGCTTGTCTTTGGATTCTGAGTCCTTTCTCTGCATTCTATTTAGGGGCGGGGAGCTGCTGTTGGGGGTGGGTTGGGGTGCACAGGAAAGGCATGAACTCTGACGTCTTGGGCCTGGGGCTGAATCCGGCCTCTACCGCTGCCTCACTGTGCAGACAGGAGCTGGTCACGTGGCTGCTATTTGCTGAGCACCATCTGTGTGTGACGCTGCAGGCCTGCCTCAGTCAGGCCCCCTGTCCTGTTACAGATAGACAGAAAGCAGAGACAGTGAGTCCTCCTGGCTCTCGGCCAGTTGAGCTGGAATTCAAAGACAGCTGTGTCTGGTTCTGAATCCAGGGGTTTCTGACAGTTTTCTTCAGGGTGAGGGCTGGAGCTTGCCCAGTTTGCGGGGGGCAGGGGGGTTGAGACCCCCAAATCCTCCTTTAGGAAAAAACCTACTGTCATCTGTTTGAGAATTAGGAATTTACTGGGAAAAGTTTTGAAGCTAATAAGATATTGGAAAATAATTATATTTTTACTCCATTATGCCTTTCTAAGTTATTTAAGCTCCTGGTGACTCTTTGTCTCCTGTAAACTCAGGATAATACTGGTACAGTCCTTACAGAATTGTAAGAAAGATTAGATGGAGTTAAAATAAGCAAACCATCTGGTACAGGATCAGGCCTCCCCACCAGTTTGTTCTCTTCCCTCTTATAGAAACGCTCTGCGCCAGAAAGGGCTCAACTGTGCCCCGAGCGCAACTGAACCATTTATTCGGATATTTTCACATTATTTACAATAATGGCTAATTAATTCAGCAAATATTTATTTAGAACCAACTGTGTGTTTAGAAGTGTGTTGGGTCTGTGAGCGGGGATGGCCTGGTGCGAGGCGGGGGCAGCGCGGTAATCCTGCCGCCGTGAGCAGCATCTCTTCCTGCCTGTCCCCTCTGAAGAGCTGATGTCTGAGCAGCGCCATCGGGCATTCTTGTGTTTGGCTTTTTTCAAAATTTCTCACTAAAATTCAGGGTCATCAAGAGAGGTAGCATCTCACTTTTTGTGAGTTTGTTCCTTTGTAGGAGCAGCCATGGAGGAGCACAGGGGAGATGTGGATGAAGGAGTGGGATCAGGGGGAGGTAGGAGTAGCTCTAAGGTCAAAAGTATATCCTTGCTGGCTGGGCCACAGTGGGCCTGTGCCAGTTGCCCAGAAGCTAACATGGCACTCGCCTTATGTTCCCCGGGCCTTGGGCCTACATGGCCTATTCCTTTAAGACAACCCAGTGGAATCTGAGTACCGCTAGCAGTTTGATCTTCACCGTCACCACCAGCATCATTCCTTTAAAAAAAAGCATGAATAAATTCTTCTTTAACATTTGGAAATTTACATTGTTTTTTTCTCCTTTAATTCTTATTTTCATTTACTTCCTCATAGAATCTTACTGTAATGATAAGTTTTTTGCTTGAAAATCTTTTGTGGATCACAGTATCTTATCTATCTGCAGCAAAAATATGCATATAAATTGAATTTTAGAAGATGCTGAAAATTTCCTTTAAGTCTCTAAATGTTAACATTTTTTATACTGATTGAGTTGTAGTTATTAATACACCTTTGAGCAAAGCAAAATATATCACAAATTTAAATAAACATTTTTTAAAAGTTGGAAATGCATCTCTTAATGAGATGATAGAACTCTTCTTTTAAAATTAGTTTATATGTTCATGGATGATACTTATTGCTAGAATGAAGCCAGGTTGAGAATCAATTCTGATCTCTTTTTTAAAAAATAGATAGAAGGGCTGAGAAATTTTATCCCTATAAATAAGTAGACAGGAAAAAGAGTGACATTATAGCCACGTCACTCAGTTCGTGGAACTCCTGGGTTATGTGCTAAAATCACATACTGCGCTGTCATCAAGTGATTTTTAATGATTTACCCGCTGACAGCTTAATAAGGTCTTCTGTCAATTTTGTTAAAAGCACAGAGTTGGAAACCGTCCAGTATACCAAAAAAAGTTTTTCTGAAATTCATCAAATGACTGTTCTTATACATGTTAGTCTTTTACTTAGAAGTAACTTGTGTAACTGGATATATTTAGAAATGATTGAGAAATTTGAAATATTTTTAACTTCAGCATACTTTTACCAATAAATGATTTCATTTTAAAAGTTGTATCATATCACATGTTTTAAATGTTTTTTCTGGAGCCTTGGAGGTGCAGACTTAGCTCATTCAATTTATAGGAGATGTCTACCGCAGTACCTAATTGCCATGCAGTTGCTCCACAGTAGACCAGAAAGTAAGGCTTACTTTCTGTCAGAAAGCATTTACTTGGTTTTTGACTGTAATACGCATGACAACCATCTGTTCAGGGCTGTCCTAAAATGGCTGGCTGGCTGGACTGGGCCTGGGACCCACCTCGGAGTGAGCTGCCTGGGAAAGTAAGCCCCTGGGATTTAGTGTTTCTCTCTGATGCTCTCTTTGTTGTACCAAGACCCTGCCTTAGGGAAAATGCATTTGTTTACACTGGTTGGGAGATGAAAGAGGCATGATTGCTAAGTAAAAATTATTCCTACCAAGGCCAAAGTACCTTATTCCTTACCCGTGACCATTATTTCCAGTGCCCCCACAGTGCCATTGTCACTAATGCCATGGCCTTTTTGGACACTCAGGTAAGACAGGGAAGACCCAAAGTCTTCTCTCTGGTTTGGGGTTCCTTGGTTGAGGACACTGGTATTGGCAGACCCCCTCTTTGGTGCTCTAGGATGTCTGTTTTTCCTTGCCATGGGGAAATGCACTACTGGAATGGGGGTGAAAGGCATCTCTGTAGAGTGGGCAGAGGGCAGCCGTGAAGAAGGGACGTGAGAAAGGAGAACCGCACACCGCCTCAGCTCCGAGCATGTCTGCAGGCCGAGGGGTTTTAGGGAAGAGTCCCTGGGGAAGTGGAACTTCTGCAAATAGATTTTTTTTTTCTGTGCTGTCCTACCCAGTAATTTTCTTTTATATAAACATTTCTTTATTGAGTTATTGTCATTTTACAATGTTGTGTCAAATTCCAGTGTAGAGCACAATTTTTCAGTTATACATGAACATACATATATTCATTGTCACATTCTCTTTCACTGTGAGCCACCACGAGATGCTGTATATATTTCCCTGTGCTACACAGTACAGTCTTGTTTATCTATTCTAC